CATGGCTTGCCCTTTGTTAATATTGAACTTTCTCCCTCGGATTAAGTCATTGTGAATAACGGGGTGAATTTGTTGACGACATTGTTCCATAACAAAAGAATTCATTACTCGTCAAGGTGCTTAATTAAACTGTAGAATGTTAATTAACTTGAAATTTTTTTTTGTAATTTTGTTTGGATGTTTTGGTTAACGTTTTTGTTTAAATATTTTTACCAACATTCTTTCATGTTAAGGGGATTAGTGGCACCTTGTGAGGGCATTTATAATTTAACATATTTTAAACTAATAATATATTATTATTTGTATGATCGTGAGATCCGGTCTGATGTGACGTAGGTTTAGAAAAACATTTTTTTTATCGTGCCAACCTTTCGATTTCTAAATAAATATCGATTAACGGTCACTAATCACCACACGTTTCGATCTTTATTGAGATCGTCTTCAGGGCTTGGGATTTATAAACATGTATAATGTAAACAGTGCTTATAAATCCCAGGCCGTGAAGATGATCTCAATAAAGATCGAAACGTTGGCACGATAAAGAGAATGTTTTTCTAAACCTACGTCACACCAGACCACATCATATAATTTGTATATTAATCCTGTAATGTAAGCATTTTTTATTACATTAATGATAGTTTTTTCAAAGCAATTACGATAAAGTTATTTCCATTTGTCCTCCCACAAAGGTTTGCTGTAATCTAGCAACATTGCATCCATTCGACTGTAATATATCTCCTGGAATCACAAAGATGTAACGAAATGCTTAAGAACTGGTCCAGAGGTTTTTTCCGTCTGGTCCGAACAAATGTCCGGATCACTAAGATATTCAGGATTTGTGAGTCAAACAGGACGAAAGGATTCTTAAGATCGTCAGAGAACTTACGTCGGCCTCGTAAGCCTGGCGTTTAGGATAATCGTCATCATTGTCATTTTCTATCATTATTTATAAATATGGCATACATTCATATACTGACGTTATGTACAGCTTGCACTGAGATTGCATAAAAAGGAGATTTCATACTACGTGGAAAAATATGCTAAACATCGTAATTATGACAAATTCAAATATTTCCTTTTTTTTTTAAAAAAAACCTATCATTTATGTTTGGTGATTAGTGACCGTTAATCGATAATTATTCAGAAATCGTGAGATGCGATCTGGTGTGATGTAGGTTTCAGAAAAACATTTTTTTTTGTCGTGCCAACGTTTCGATCTTTATTGAGATCATCTTCAGGGCTCAAAGTGTTTGTCTTCTGTGTAATTGTGCCATTCTTACCACTGGCACTCTCAACAGGACAAGCAAGAATGGCACAATTACCCAGAAGACAAACACTTTGAGCTCTGAAGATGATCTCAATAAATAAAGAAAATGTTTTTCTGAAACCTACATCACACCAGATCGCATCTCACGATTTCTGAATAATACCTATCGTTTATGTTGGATTTCCTTTATCATATATAATGTTTATTATTTTATTATGTTGAGTAGAATAATCAAATTTGGTTTTATGTAATATCTTCTTTTATATAATCTCTAGGAAAGATATTAACAGTTATAAATTTACTTGAAACTTACGGCCAGTATTATAATTTTTTTCTTTTTTTTTAACCTTGCTGCCACCGACGCCCAATAATAATTATTCATAATCCTATGTAAAAACAAATTGAAAAAATATTAAATTGATTTATATGTTTTATTTCTTGCGAATGAAGCAGTTTCGCGTAGAATTAATGCCTTCACAAATATAAAAAGAAATAGCAAGAGAATGACCAAAGTTCCTATCAGTAGAACGTGATGATCGATCTCAATCAGGCCGGGATCGAGCGGAACTATACGGACCACGCCAATCATATCCCCCTTTTGCCAACACGTGAATAATGATCGATCGTCCTTAAGAACGGTGGTGAGGACAAGCCGGCCCCTCGTGTCGGCCCATATCCGGCTCCTAGGGCCATCAGGTTCTGAGAAGTACACCCTAGAGCTCTTGTTCAAGTACCATTCGACGAGGACGTCGGCTTTCTTGCTTCCTGGACAAGTAACGGTCAGACGACGGCCGATTTCGATGAAAATCGTCTTTCTTCCAACGTCCCAGATCAACTTAGGCGACGTTTGCAGAGGAGAGAAAATACCTGAAAAAATAATATATTTTATTACAGTTTAAAAAGACTTTACGGTATATCATGAGACTAGGGTTGAGTTGAAATTAGGTTTTCTCCAAATTAAAACTCACGACGAAAGTTCCAGGTGCTAAACCCTAATAAGAATATTCTAAGCTAATTGTTTTTCACTTTTCGTATTAACAGAACATTCTTTGAATCTGCCTTTTAAATGCTTTTAAACAGTAAGAAAGGGAGTTAAGAAAGAAAAAAGCTGTTAAAAACTTTATAGGGTCCCGGTATATCTTAAGATCAGCGAGTTGCCCAATATGCGAGTTGTTTTTAAATCTCAAAACTCCCTCTCGAAAAATATTGAAATTTAAATCAGAAAGTTGTCCGCTATTTATGGTAATAGGGAGCAGAGATGCCGCGCTGGGTGAGGGAGTTAAGTTCAGAAACTCACCTGTTATTTATGGTGTTATTTCTACCGTTTCAACGGCAAGTCAGGGAAATGTCGAGGGTAAAAGCATATCTCAAGTGAGTCAGCGGCACTTGGTATATATTTTAAGGTAGACGCGTGTTGCAGACTTGGCAATCCCCAGGCTCTTTTAGTGAGAACTGTTCTAATTCTCGACCGGGCCTATTTGCCGGATATCATTTCGGAAGGAAGCTCGTCAGATTCAAATTAAACCTTAATCCGAGGAATCCGTTCTGCGAGCAGGAAAGGACGTATATTTTATTTATCCGTTTGACTCTTTTAAAACGGCCCTTCTCGATTGACACAATTGCCTAACCAACCGTGAATTCGGTATTGGAATAAATCGTCCGTGGTGAGCCTGATACGGCATTAGAATATATCCGATGATCGTTTGATAAAAGTACGTTTTTTTATCGTCACTTTTATTACATCCCTCGAAATCACATATTCATTTGGGCGTAGTTTCGTGAAAATCAGTGATTCGTGTAAATAATTCTGTTTTTACAACCTCCAGTCACAGAAAGTAAAAAAGGGTGTTCGGCTTCTCGTGTTACAAACTTTACCAGTAGATTCTACATTCAAAATTGAACCAAAAAATCCTAATTAACTATGGCCCGAATCTCAACCGCGTCGGAGTTATTTCACTTTTTTTTTATTTTTTAAGATTTCACGACCTTGCTTCAAATAAACAATGATAACTTCAAAACTAGAAGGTTTTGGGCAAATCCGATGATACCATTGAAAACTATGTTAAATTTCCAATAAGATGTGATCAATACTAAACTTGTAAACCTCCATGAAATAAGCGTTTTAGTAGCGAAAAATTAAAAAAAAAGTTGAAAAATAATGGTAATTCTAATCTATTATTTAGAAACCTAGAAACCAGTAAATTTCCGAAAACGTACTCCATTTATTATACTTTTTAGTGGTGCAATAGCCTTTTCAATTACTTTTTTCAAATATGAAGAAATTGATGAAGGAAAAAACCGTGGTTGAAGAATTGGTAAGGTGGAAAGATTAATAATAATAAGAAATAAAAAACTTAAGGAAATTTTAAATGAATTTATTAAACTTTTTTAATTTTGATTCGAAATGCTCTCCATCCTCCCCAATGTATTTTCGACGCGACAGAATTGCAATACTTCGGTTTCGAACTCAAATTTTAAAAAAAGTTTAATAAATTCATTAAAAATTTCCTTTTTTTGTTTGTTTTATTTTTAAATTTTCCACATTACCTACCATCAGGTTTTTTCCTTTCCTGCAGCAATTTATTCATTTTTGAAAAAAGTAATTAAAAAAGGAATTACACCTCTAAAAAGAATATTAAATGGAGTACGTTTGTATATAGTAGTTTAGATTCACCAGTGTTTTTCAACTTTGAAAGAAAAAATATTTTTTAAAGTTCTCGCTACTAAAACACTTATTTCACGAACGTGTACAAGTTTAGTATTTATCAAATTTTTTGAAAATTTAACGTAGTTTTCAATGGTATCAACGACATCAGGAATTTGTCCAAAACCTTTTAGTTTTGGTGTTATCGTTAATTAGGACATTTTGGTTCCATTTTGAATGTAGACTCTACGGGGAAAGTTTGTTACACGAGTAGCCGAGCACCCTGTATAAAAATGTGTACTTCTAGCAATAATATTTTATTCTAATTCAGCCGGATGAAAAAAATTTTTGTGGGAAACGATGTTAAAAATGGAATAACCGTTTTATAACTAATTAAAAATAGATTACTTTTTAAAAAATCTTGTAGAGTGCTTTTTTGAATAAATCAAATCCAAGCAAATTCTTCTGCAAACCGTATTTCAAGAAATCCTGTCTCACATATTCCACATGCCTCTCAAAAATTTTATATAAGTGTGAAAGGGAACAAGGAAAAAGAAAGAGAGGGGTTTTTTAAGGTATAACTAAATCTTTTCCTGCTGCAGAATAAAGAACACAATCATTTATGCTTTGCATAATTATTAAGGTATCGTTTTGTCTAATGCTTTTTCCTATTGCCTTACTCGTGAACCAAGATAAATTTTATAGCAGAAACAAAATTTTCTTACTTTCGTCTGTCAAATGTGCAGAATCCCATCATGACTTAATTTTTTATTATTTCTCAACATTAATAAACCAATTTTCAAAATATCGAAATAAATTTTTTAGAATTGAAATTTACTAAATTCACCAGTTTTCGTGGTCCGCTTGACCAATTACTGTATTACAATTAATTAAGGTTTTTAGTTGAGATAAAAAAGTCAGTGTCACGAGCGGCAAGTGAGGTTACGAAAGCTCAAGTGGTAGAGGAGCGGCGTATCTAGCCGAAGATCATGGGTTCGAATCCCGCTCTTCACACTGACTTTTTATCTCAACTAAAAACCTTAAGTAATTGGAATTTACGTTTAAATTTGAAAACTATTTTTAGAAAAACATGACGGTCTCTAAAATTTACCTGCACTGTTATTTACGATATTCATCAATAACCCCTTTTCATCACGGACTTCAAAAAACGTGTCTGTACAGGCCTCTTTGCAGTACCCCAAAAAAACCTTGTTCGGAGTGTTTCGGACGAGTTCTATTTTCGTAAACCAGCCAGGCAACAAAGGGCTACGACAAGGCAGTCCGTTGTTGAAATATTCTAACAGCTTGTACGTTTCATTGTAGTGGGATATAAACGACGGAATGGATGCAAAAACGAAACAAGCTCCGAACTTCAATCTTCGGCCGACTTTATCACATCGCGTGCAGGAACTCCAATCCGACCAAACTGTGAAATACGCAAAGTATATTTTTGTCGATTAAGAAGAAACCTTATGATACCTGTTTTCAATACGATTCCATCTAATATTTCCGAAGTTTTGGAATAGGTACTGTCAAATTTGACCTGTAGGAGTGGCTCCTCGTCGTCGAAAACGTGAACAAAATATGAGGAAGTCTTTGTATTTCCAAACGTACAATAGTATATTCCAGCATCTTCTGGTCCGGCCTGAAAATCGTTCTCTGTATTTTCTCCATCGTCCTTCTGGAAAATTCACTCACATCGTATATATTGAGAGAATCGTCAGAGTTCATTTTGTCAGCGTCTTCGATTTGGATGTGAGCACCGGTGAGGGTCTTTTGGTGAAACCATTTTACAGAGCCTGGTTCCTGCCTGGGTGATGGACAAAACAGGCAATCCAAACGCACCGAGGCTCCTTCGTACAGAGAAACAGCCACGGGCCGCATGGACCTTCAACTCACTCTGTTAATTGTCAATCCGGTTTGATTATCATTTGCATACCTTGAACTCAAAGCTTGCAACTGTGAGTTTAAACAGTCGTAGTAAAGCTCCCAGAGCTGCCTAATCCGGCTTAGTTTTTGTAGGTTATTCTTCGGGTACTCGAGAGTCGATAAATGGACGTACTTAACTTCGTTCGTCGGCCCGGGTGACTTCACAGGTAGACCTTCTTTCAACCCATCCCTCAAGGCATCGACACGTTGTCGAAAATCTTCAAGAGTATGCGACGAAAACCGCCCCGGAGTTGTTATAAGCAGTACGGATAATATATAATACATGGCTACAAATGTCTCGGAACGATCAGCTGAAACTCAATTTGTCCAACTGGATCTGACAGTTGTCAAACTCGATTTTCTAAACTGGTTCGAGTATTCAGAAGGCAGTGCCAGCTCGGCAAAGGCATTCGTTATAGAATTTACAGTTCGTATTTTCAAAATTTGCTTAATTTACCATCGAATTTAAGAATTTGAATTGTCAAAAGGTGATTACAATTTACAATAAATAATTCGCTTTTTACATTCAATATTAATTGATGCAATTTAGCCAGTTATTACGTATTTCTTATTTAATTACTTTCAAATTAGAAAATCTGTTTCAAATAAATACCTAAAAATATTAAAATAGTACAGGGATGTGATATATTAAGAGGGTGTTTAAGGGTGGTTTGTATGCCATCTCATCATAAATAACCCTAACCACCCCTCAATATAAATGAAGGGATTAAAAAAAATTGTGTTGATGAGTTATTCGCCCATCTTCAGTCAAAATGGGCTGATCCAGGCTTAGTTCCCCCACGAGCCAACGAATATTCCTTCTGACCAATTTAGTAAACAATTAGACTAATTTAATTACCAATTAAACCAATTAATCATCAACTAATTTACTATTTAAAAATTGGTTAGAAGGAATGTCTGTTGGGTTGTGGGGAAACAGGAATTATACAGTTTTGGGCTGCTGAAGATGGGTGAATAGCTCCAAACGTCAAAAAAATCAACAATGTTTATTCTTTTCAAATACCCTTAATATATATTTTGTAGCGTTGGTTTTGCACCAAAATTACTATCACAATATACAAAACGATAATAAAACTATAGAAGACGGAAAAACTAACCGAACTAAGTGGATAATAAAGCTGGACAGGATTATTTAAGAAATCGCAAAATATCACTTCCAACAGTTCAGGGATTGGTAAGAAGCCTAATTCTATATATATGCAATTCAACATAGCTTAAAATTGCACAAAAAGAACGAATAATGCGTACAGTAATAATAATTCGTCCATTAATAATTCCTCTCAATTAACGTTAAATATGTAAGTATAATCTAATTTTATAGTGATTCTTAAAATGTTGAATCATGCTAACATCATGGATCATGCTTACAGATGCAAATTGTTTTATTACAATCTCTTGGTAATTGCATACACCGACGCTTTAAACTTTAGCTGTCTTGATTAAAATAATAAAATTAGCATTTCCGTCTAACTGGAAAATTATTTGTATGTGTTCAAAACGTAGGTATAAGACAGAATACACTACTGAATAAATTTTCATTATAAAACTTATGAAGCAAATTTATCTAAGTTTGATAACTTATATTTTTACATACATTTATTTTAAAAACCTACAAGGATTATTTTTGTCATTAATTACATAACGATTTTATAGAATTTATTTGAAAAAAGATGTTTTAGGACATACATTCTTATGACAAAATATTCGTTAACCTGTGAGTTTGTAGATAAGTTTTTATAACGCAACACGAGTGACAGAAAGCATGAGTTAACCAATGTGTTTATAAATTGAACTTTTAAATAATTTTTAAAATATTTAATCTAAATTTTTTCTTCGAAAATTTTTACTAGAAAAATCGTTAGAACATAAAACCTTTTTTTTTGTGTGTGGTGATTAGTGACCGTTTGTCGATGATTATTCAGAAATTGTGAGATGTGAAAAAATGTGAATAGAAATACTTTGATTGAATATAAAAAAAGATTTATTTGTATTGTATAAATTCACTTTTTTCCACATCCTACATGTTTTTGTTAAATTAAAACAATGTTTGTAAATCCCAGGCCCTGATGATGATCTCAATAAAGATCGAAACGTTGGCACGATAAAGAAAATGTTTTTCTGAAACCTACATCACACCAGACCGCTCCTCACGATTTCTGAATAATCATAAAACCTTTTCTTACTAAATATAATAAAATCTAAATATTTTGATAAGACAATTGTGCAGTGATTTATATTTTAAAAAATATCGATCCGTTGACAACCGAACAGTGAATTTTCTTACTTTTTGATTTTCCGTGTCAAGGGAATTATAATTATATTTCATAATTTTATTGGTCAATAATCAAGCCTATTTGTTTAATTCGACACTTTTGGTCCATACTGGAAGAATATATGTGTATACGTCACCTCCTTATACAAACATGGATGTCTGATCATATTCACTTCGCCAGAGTATGCGACATTCCTTGGGGGCAGGATTGAACCCACTCAATTCTCGTTAATAACTTACTTTTACTCTCCAGACGTCACACCCTCACCCCAGACTACCCGACATTCGGGTCGGGGTTAAAGAACTACTTCCTTTCACGCTAATAAGTTACATTCATTCCAATAAATTAACATAAACACAACACCCGATACAAACATAGAAGTCTGGTTACATTCACTACCCCGGATTACTAGAGAAGATAAAAATGTTATTCCAACGGGAATGTTTAAATTTGTAAATGCATCTTCAGATCGATGAATTTATCTTGCGATATTTTACCAAGGCTGTTTCTCTCCACGGCTGGCGGCCGGGGCTCTGAATATTTCCACAGAGAAATTTCTCCAAATTTCCTTTGATCAGCCCCCTCCTGGACAAAGGGAACAATGAAGAACAAAGGGAAACAAAACCCCAATACCCTCTCCCGGGTGATAAACCATCGATTGTTGGAGGCCCTTACCCCCTGAGCCCCCTCAACCACCGGGGTATTGTTGCTGAAGATAACGGAAGCTAATAGTTGGCTTTATCAAGAAGGGAACTACGGACAAATGCAACCCCTAGAAAATTATCACATGTGATGACATTCCGCTGATATCCTTTTAATATTACTGACAGCCGACAACGACTTTTCCGAAGCGAAACACCACTACTCGCTCTACAAACTGTATGGACTTATATAAATATCCCAAATACTTATACTATTTTTGTCAACGATTTCGTTAGTACTGAAAAATTTATCTTCTCAATCGAAATATTAGATTTTTGAACATTTTAACAGGGCACTCTCGACACGACACGCAAAAATGGCACAATTACACAGAAGACAAACACATTGAGCCCTGAAGATGATCTCAATAAAGATCGAAACGTTCGCACGATAAAGAATATATTTTTCTGAAACCTACATCACACCAGAACGCATCTCACGATTTCTAAATAAATTTTAACAGGCTTGACAACATATCTCAAAAATTAAAATAATTATTCTTTTTATGTAAGCCACAAGGCACATTATGTTTAGTGAAGTGATACATCTTTTACTTATTAAATATTAATCCATTTACGTTTAAGGGGTCAAATGACCAAGGTACTTCTTTCAATTAATTATTCTTTTTATGTAAGGGCTTGGATGAGATAAAAAAAGTCACTATCAAAAGTGGGATTCGAACCCACGACTTTCGTCTAAATACGCCATAATAAAAGCTACCACTTGAGCTATCGGGACTTCGACCCTCTCGGACACCAACTCTCCATCTCAACCTACAACCGTTCAAATTTTTCCTCTTTTTGTCATTTTCAAACAGCTCCCTGTGGCCAGGTCATAAATCGCTGAGAATCGAATTCTGATTACGCGACATTTGAAAATGGCAATAAGGGGGAAAATTGGAACGTTTGTAGGTAGAGATGGAAAGTTGGCCAAGAGGATCGAAGTCACTATAGCTCAAGTAGAGCAGCGGCGTATTTAACCGAAGGTCGTGGGTTCAATTCCCACACGTGACACTGAATTTTTGATCTCAACTAATACCTCACATAAAGATTAAATAATTGAATTAAAATAATATTGAACCTAAAATCAGCATGACAAAAACATTTTCTACAAACTAAATACTATAACATATAACTTTAATTATGTATTATGTACATGTTTCATCGTATAGATACTACACCACTTTTTAAAGCTTATTGAGATGAATAGCTTGGTGGCTCTCCTTCACGTGATGTATAGAGTAATAATAATAAAAATGTGAACGGGCCGATCGTAGCAAGGTTCAAACACCGGTCATTAATGTCAATATTTATTTATTGCTCAATATATATTTTTATTGGCAATTTTTTATAGTTACCTCACCTCAAAAATATTGCGTTTATGAAAATGTCATTCATTTCGAAGAATAAAAGAAGGATTGTAAATTCGGAAGGTTCAAACCATACGGTTCTTTTACCAACTACGCTACTCATGTTTGTAGTAATATTTTAATGTAGAAATATGTTTTATTTAACATAATAAAAAATTAATCCATCTACGTTTTAGTGGTCAATTGACCAAGTTACCTCTTTCAACCAATCATTTCCTCTATGTAAAGTCTTGGTTGAGATAAAAAAAGTCAGTGTCACGAGCGCGGCTCGAACCCACGACCTTCGGCCAAATACGCCGCTACTCTCACATTGAGCCATTGCGATTTCGATCCTCTCGGACACCAACTCTCAATCTCAACCTACAACCTTTCGAATTTTCCATTTTTTGCAATTTTAAATGTCATGTAAGCAGGATTGGACTTATGAAGTGGTCACGGGGAACTGATTAATGAAATGATATTCCTTTTATTCATTAAATATTAATCTATTTACGTTTTAGTGGTCAACTGATCAAGCTACTTCTTTCAATTAATTATTCTCTTTATGTAAGGTCTTGGTTAAGATAAAAAAGTCAGTGTTACGAGAGGGATTGTCCAAATACGCCGCTGCTCTACCACTTGAGCCATGGTGACTTCGATCCCCTCAGACATGGCTCAAGTGGTAGAGTAGTGGCGTATTTGGCCGAAGGTCGTAGGTTCAAGTCCCGCTCGTGACATTGACTTTTTTTACCTCAACCAAGGCTTTACATAGAGGGAGTGATTGGTTGAAAGATATTAAAAAATATAATTTAAATTAAAATGAAAATAACACCTTATAGTATTATTATGTATACAATATTAAATTCCTATTCAAATTTTATCTGGTTGGGCGTCCATTACCTGTTGGAATTGTATCTGTAAAAATTTGATTTTATTGAATAAATAATGAAACAATGGTCCGACGGGATTTTTTAAAAATATTTTCCGTCGAAAAACCGATGATAAAAAGCTCTTTCATAAACACCAAGTCACGAGTAAATGAGTCGTAAATCATTTTTGTCCATTCTATTAAATAGGATGAAGCCTGAAGCCTCACTGGGGCGAAGTGAGAAGGGAATACCATTTTTTGTTTTAATCCAGT